AGAGTTGCAAATTCCATCCACTCTTCCTGGTCTATGGACTGGTAGCATTGATTTTGATATGTTGAAGTAAAATAATCACTTAAGGAAACAGGTGGGTCATTAATACTTTTTAATGCAGAAATTCAGTTAACTACTTAAGATTTAATAAACCAATATGAATATTATGAGCAGCTTATTTACTTAAATTTATATTTTTCTGGAAGTCAGCTTTGCTGTTACCACAAGACTTATACATTGAATTTTATAACTACAGCTTGGAGCGTATCTGTGATGAATAATACATTATTTTAAGGACAGTGATCAAAGTTCCTTGCAGCACAGAAAAAATACCAGACTAATAAGAAAAAGTGATCCAAGGATATTTTAGAGGCATTTATTAAATTAACATTCTCACATTATATTTTCTGGTTTGGGTTTTTTTAGTTGGTCAATATATTAACATTATATTTTCTCTCTTGCATTGTAATTCCAATTGTCTGAGGGCAACGAATGTGATGTAACTATTTAATCTTTGGCTTTATCACATTCATCTTGGTAGAACACAGTGATAAACTGTGTATAATATAACAAAGATACATGGTGACTAAAATGATTTTCCTCCTTTGGAAATCTTTGTGATAATAATTGCAGAGTGAATGGGAAGTCTTCCTCTGTTTTAGTCATCCATTTGTATTGGAATTTTCATTTAAACATTCTTCCATTTTGCTTCTGTCAAGTAACTTGCTTTTAGTTGCTTTAATTAGATGTATTTTGGGGTGTAAGATTTCTCTATCTTATACTGAGATTTTTTAAAAGCTAAAGTCAGAAAGTGTTGAGTTTGGATCATAATAAATATAACTATTGTTCTGACATAGTAACCATTTCTGAGTCTTGTTTGCTATCATATAAGGTGTGAAGTGGAAAGAAACATATAACTTTTTTTTTTTTTAAACATTAATGAAGAATTAAGAATCAATCAGGTTTTTGCTTTAAATATGCTTTGTATCAGAGAGGGATCTGTTTTTTTTTCCTTCTGCTTCTCAAACTGCTCTTTGAGTAATGGCAGCTTGTTAAGAAAAGGCTTCCTTCATTTGTACTGAAATGAATAAATTACCTTTAAATCTTTGCGAAGAGGACACAATTTAAGTCTGTAAGTAACAAACATGCATTATTTTACATAATTCTTTTAAAAATCTGTAGGTTTATGGCTAATTTACTGGAATATAGTGTTTGTGCATCGGTATACTGTACTACAGTTCAGTATTAAAAATGAAGTTACCTTGATGTTGTGTTTTGGCATTTAAATAATGGATTTCAAGTTATGCTGTAACTCAAATCTTTAGCCTTAGAGTGTATATTATTTATTAGTGCACTTTGAAAATACTGTTTCAAGGTTGTCCTGACTGAAGCATGAAGTGATTGCTTATAAAATAGTCAATGAAGAAATTAGTATAATAATTTTTTGAAGTCGTTTTTTGGGTTTTTTTTAAAGTAAAATAGTGACACTCCAGCTGACACACAAATCTTTCAGAATCTATTTATTTAGAAGCATAAGCTGGAAGGTATGCTGGGAAGTAGCAGCAATTGTTAATAGGGAAATATTTTACAATTGAAAGCACAAGTTAAAAGTAAGATTGGACCATAGGAGAGAAAATCAGTTTATTAAGTAATTCAGTGTCTTCTGTGGTTTTTAATTTGAGATTACAAATTAAGTGAAAAGAGAATTTGAAGTTCAACATCACAAGTTTGTGCCTAGAACAGTATTTCCTTCAGTACATGTTTGTCTAGCTCTTTGTAAGCTTTTGTTAATTGAATGATGAAATAGGAATCACAAGTATCAGTTAAGCAGTATTAATATTTTTAGCTAGGTGATCACCTTTACTCTGTTGTGGAGTTGATTAAGATGCAAGTACCACACTAGATTCTTCTGTTGTCCTAGCATAATTTTAGGATGTCTTGATAGGTGGAACATAAATTAACACTTCAAAATATTAATGATGTTGTATAAACACGAGGTGTGCAGGGAAGTGCAAAAAATGACTGCTGTAGATATTGGCCAGTTACTTATACGGAAATACTTTGCAGCATTAATTTAACTTATAAAATTGTTTTAATCTGTTTGAGTCACACTGGCCATTCCAAAAGCAAATGATTGATTTTTAGCTAGCAAAACTAAACTTTGTTTAACTTTAAGAAAGAGCACGATTGGAGATAGGAAGCTCAGAACAGCAGCACTGAATGGTGTGGAGTTAGAGGTCTACATACACACAATCTTGCTTATAAAGCATTTTATCATCTGCTGTGATCATCAGTTTATACAGCCTGCATGCATCCCAATATTGCAGAATAATGAATGTGAATTGGAATAAATCTTCTATCTTTCTTGTCTTTATAGTCACCTGTTTGATGATGGTACTCAAATCTTTGGCCTGCTACTCGGATGTTCTCCCTCCTACATCACTGATGCTATTTTTTGCATAGGCTCCTTGCTGGCTTGTTTTGGCCATCTAATGTTAGCTGTTTACATATGTAAAAGCTCTCTCTGATGTGGTATTTTTTATTCATGGGGGGGGGGGTTTCCAGAAGCCAGTCAAATGTTTCTATTTGACTTATTCTGTAGGTATCGGGATATATGAAATGAGTTTAAGAGCCAGGTAATCCCTCTTAATATGTGACTAGTTTTAGAATAGCAGTCAAAATATGGAGCAGTTGAAGCAACTGTAGATAACTATTAAAACTGTAAAACTTGTAACAAGAGGTAGGGCAAGTTAAGGAGGATCACTTTAGGCTAGGTCCTCAGAACTTGCTTTTACTACACACCCAAAAATCGTTCTTTCCCTTTCTGACACAGATTTTTTTTCTTGTCTGAGTTTACTGGTGATTTTCAGTCTTAGCTGCCACTTCCATTTAATCTTTCAGTCTGATAATCTGCCTGTCCAGTTTCCACTGAGTGGAGTCTTTTTTTTTTTTTTCCAAACAAAATAGAAACACTGGAAACATTGCTTGTTTCTTTTCCACAGCCAAGTACTTGGTGATTGCAGCCTAATATTAAGCAAAAAGAATCCAAAGATACACACCCAGAAATACCAGCAGAAAAATTGTGTTTCAGCACCAGTGAAAGAGTGGTATTTCAGATGAGGCTTTGCAGCATATTGCTTTCAGACAGACATGGTATTGTGATGGTTCTATGACTACAGCAATTTGTCATCTTTTCAATTAGTCACTTTTTCATTGTGCATTGAGATTTTTTAATTTAAAATATTTCTACAAAACAAAAGACATCTTAGAAAATATATATAAAATGTACTTTTGAGCAAATATTTAATAAAATAGGAGTAGTTAGTTTTCTTGTACTTCACTTTTTACATAAAATAACTTAAATCATTGTGTAAACTCTTACTATTTGTAAAGCTTCTTGGTTGAGTTTAAATCAGTTTAAACAAAATGATAAGTTTCAATCATGAGAGGGTTTTTTAGTGTAAAATGGTTCATTACAAAACAGCAGAGACTATGAACTTGACAAGTTACTGAAAATATGATGGAGTATGTAGGGAAGCCTCAAGTTTTACGGTTTTAGGCTGCCAGCTTATGCACATGTGGGAATTCTTTTTCTACTTTGAGTTCAGTATGTGTGGTAACTTTTAGTTGTTTCAATATTGTTAGAGTAGCAGCAGAGTGTTTAGGCAGAAAATTCAAATCCTTTCCCTTAGATGGAAATACTGGTAACTCTCTGATTAAAACCCAACGATTCATGAGTTATGTTTTTCATTTTAAGATGCATCCTGTATAAAATATCTGACTAATTAAATTGTGGATTTCGTTTAGTGTTTGATGTTCTGTGGATTCTGAAAAGGTCCAGGCAAGCTGACTACTCTATATTTGGCAGGATGATAGCGAAGAAAAAGTTATAACTGCTAGTGCAATACGTAACTGTATAGCTTGTCTCTGATCCTGTGCGGCTTTATGCTGCCTTAAAGGGCCTCTCAGAATTTTCCCACACCTATAACTCTTCTTAATGCCAGTATACCTGAGTAGGTAATTTTAATCTATTTTTTTTTCTCACTGTAGTGTAATTTTGTTTTCACTGTCACTTCCCTATCACTGTTACTATTTAAACTTTATTAAAAAGAGTAAAGTCTTCATTTGTTCTGCAATGAAGATGATTTGTGGTGCTACGTATTAGTATAGAACAACGAGAAATTTCAACTGCAGTAAGTCCAACTTGCTAGGAAGTATGTTAATTGTTGAATATTTGCTTTTATAAAAATTTGATTATTTGATACTAAGTTGTGGACATGATCTGTGTAAAATGCACTGCAAATTTTGGGCTAGGTGATTGTCTTCATATGCTCGTATATACTTGAAAGCATTTCCTTTGTAGATCTGTCATCAGCAATTACTGATTGACTCTCACCTGTTGTATCCTGCACATGCATCCAGCATCTTTTGAACAGCTCACAGCTACACTGGGGCTAGACTGTAAAATAAAATAATTTCAAAAGCACTGTATTCTGTTGGAGCTATGATATAATCTTAGTAGGAAAAAACAATGGATACTGTATAAATACATGCTTTAGGCCTATGGAGAGTATTTAAAATCATTGTCAGTTAACAGTTATGCAGGGATGTCTTTGTGGGCTAGATTAGAGATAGTACTGTTTTACGTGATTGATTAAGCAAATGTTGTACAAAACACAACCTAAGAACCTCTAACAGAAGGGTTTTTATTTGGAAAAAAAAAAAATTAACACTCTTATATCTGTAACAGTGTTTATAAATAATGTTCACGGTTTTCTTGAGTGTCAACTTTTTCAGTTGTTAATAAACAAAAATGCCCTTGCGTTTCATGATATGAATAGAATGCAAGGAGGTAAAAAAAAAACCCTACAAATGGAAATGCCAGACATTTCTTCTGCTAAAACCTCTTATTCTGTGCTATCTTCTCCCTGTCTCAAATAGTAATACCAAATATTTGCATGGTCCTTAAATTGTTGGTTTTGCTAATTTTGTTATTAAAACAGGCAACAACAGAGAGACCTTTTATACAGAAGCTATTTCGACCAATTGCTTCAGGAGGACAGTTGCATACTTTGGAAGATCTGCTAAAAGATGTGTGTCCGAGTGCTATCACCCCTGAAGGTACTGTAGAAATAACTTTTGTCCAATAAGATTTATTTTTTTTCTGTTGACATATTGTTTCTTTGGGTTTTTTTTTTAATACGGGTATTTTGGAGGTAGGACTATGTTTCAGTACAAGAGTTTCAGATTTCACTCCTTCCTGGCCCTTTAGTGTGTCCATTATACAGCACCTGCAGTGTTTGGAGAGGATAAAATTGAGTCCTGAGGCATTCATGAAGAATTAATCTCTGGAAGCTTAATTTTAAAATTCATGTACTGCTTTGCCATCAAGTTGTTTTTAATAAAAACATTCATGTTATTTTCTGCATTTTTAAAAAAGTATTCTATTATTTATTATTCCACAGAAGTTTTAAGTTACCTTTAATTTTAAGTTACCTTCAATTTTATATTATATAAACTTTTCGTATATAAAACTCCAAAATGGATAGAAATTGATGTTTTCAGAAACTTTTTTCCCCTGTTGAAGCTCAACCTTGAAAAATGTATCAAAAGAAAGAGATTGTTATAAGTGTGTAATAGTTTGTGTGCTTACTAAGTAGTATTGCGTGACAAGATATCAATTAGTTCGTGTAGTATTGTATCGTTTCATACGGTGGCATTTGTTAAATAGCACTTTTCAAGAAAAATAAGCATTTCTGGATATTATTTTAGCCTCAAAGATTAAAACTACTGGAACTCAGATATACTTTTTAGGTGGGATAATGTAGAAGTTATGTACTCTCCAAATTAAGGATCAAAATTATTTAGTGTGAAATGTTTTTCATCTTGTACTGTACTTACAGTACCTGTACATCTTATGTACAGCATATATACCCATACAGTATATGGTTAACTTTTTCAGTCAAAAAAATCACAATTTGTTTTGAGAAATGTCTGATATTCTAGAGAAGATCTGGGCACAGAATTCACTAGTGTAGCATCAGCACCTTTTGACAGTAAAGCACTAAATTTGAAATCAGTGTAAAAATCTGTAAGATGTATGCAGAAGTTGTGTAATTCAAAATCAAACAGTTGTCATGGATTTCTTTTAAGTGTGGTGATCTTAGAAATCAACTGAAATCTCAAAGTATTCTTTTTACCCCTGTTTAAATACTTGTTAACACATGGAAACCATTTCCAAAAATAACAAAAGATAAGAAAAACATGGAATGTTGATAGCCATGTATCTGTTTTCCAAAAGCTACTATAAATTTTAGAGCATAATTTTAGGTAATGCTTTCAATTAACTGTCCAAAAGATAAAGTAAGATACAAAGAGATACTTGAGTGTTAGCACAAGCAAGTTTAAACATCTTTAAGTAGTTAAGTTTGAGGATCCTACAAACACTAGTGAAAAGGTACAAAGTGAATTTTAAAAAAAGAGTAAGAAGGATGATGCATTGCGATTTGGAAGGCAATTGAGTACAAATTAAATGAAGGAAACTCAAAAAGCATTTATGCAAAAGTTATTCCAAGATATAATGCATGATGATGTTTATGTGGATTTGTTAAATCTGTAGATGGGGAATGTGCTGGTTACTGCTTTTATTAAATATGTGAATGTTATATAGTTTTATTTGGATACTAGTAACTTGATGCTTCCCATTAGCAGTCCTTTTCAGATGTTGAGAAGTGTGCCAACCTTTAATAGCAGAATAGAATTGTGCTACGCTAATTGCTTGCTTCATTTTTGTTAAAGGCTAAAAAAAAACCCTAAACTGTTTACTCAACAGGGACAAAAAAATGGTGATTACTTGGCAGAAAATAGGTACTATCCTTACACTTAGGAGGAGATATTTGAAATTTGGAGAGGATAAGATTGAGTCCTTGGGCATTCATGAAGAATGAATCTCTGGAAGTATTGTTTTAAAATTCATGTACTGCTCATATTTTTTTTTTCCCTTATATTGGAATATACTTGTCCCAGTATAAATCTGCTTCAATTTGGCCTAGTTTTGATACTTAAGATTCTACTGAGAAATTTGCAAACTTAAAGTTCAATAAATTTGATCGTTCTCATGGGTGTGAGCTATCTTGGGATGCAGCAGAATTTCTCCTGTAATGTGGATTTGTATTGTTGCATTGTCTGATTGTTCCTGTTACATTCAGTGTGTTCTCCTCTTTTGGTAGGTAACAGAATGAAAGCTGGGCTAAATGCAGACAATAATATGAACTGTTGAGGAGATATGGGGGTAGACTGGTACATAGAGCCAGTGGAGGGGGAGGCAGACTGTCTCAACAAGTAATTTGAAAGAAAATGACAGATCTGGGAGTCATTAATTGTGATGGGGAAAGCAACTATAAACAATGTGGCAGGATGAAAGACACTGGAGCGACAGCCAAAACCTGACATAATAACTGTGAACACTTGGACAGAGTAAGTGGGTTAGGAGATGGTAAAAGGATGAGGGAGAAAAAGCAGCATATTGCATCTGGATCATACACAGAGATTGTGTAAGGCATCTGTGAAAGAATGGCAGTGGAAGTCCTGCTGATGAAGTGATTCGGGTGGTCTGGAGACCCATTTGGAGAAACAAATTGAATCAGAAGTTGAACAGAAGGGCATTTTGCACTGGCAAAATGGGAAGATACAGGTGGATAGGTGGTCAGGTCAAGCTGGAGGTAGTCAGATAAGGGACTGGGGGAAAACTTTTCAGGGTTTGCTGTACAAGTAGACTTGCACCCCAGACAGGAATACAAAGTAGAAAACTAAACATGGCAACAGAGAAATAAAAAAAGACCTAGGAGATAGATCAGGTGGAAGGAGAACTAGGATAAAATTATGGAGAAGGGATCAAACTTATGGAAATTGACCTGAAAAGATGGATGTCCCTGACAGCAGTGATTCTTACTGCTGAGGAACATGCACAGGTAAGGTCAGTGCAGTTAAGAAGAGTGAAGGGCAGCGCTGATTTAGGCTTGACTGCTTCAGTTCATGGCTGTTCACTGATGATTCAACATAGCCAGTAAGTGAACTTTGGTTATGCTCTTGCTTGGCTTAATCCACTTATTCACTATTCAAATTAAATGTGCACCATATTAAGTGTTCATGCTCTAATACATGCTCTGAGCTATTAAAAAAAAAAAAACCAACAACCAAACCTAATTTACTAGACTACATAGTGCCACTTCTGAGTTTTGCCAATAGAAATGTTAGCCATAATGAGGACATACTTAGCCCTTTTCCAGCAAGTAGACTAGACTCCTGAGACTAAAGAACCTCAGCATGTCTGTGCTACTGAAGTCTCCATGAAACCCACTCGATCAACTAATTTTCTCTCTCATGCTGGTTCACTGAGAGTTTAACAAGCTTTCTCTGTCAATAGATGCTCCATCAGTTCAAAATGCAGAGGAGATTTTAGAGCTGAGTGTTTCTATCCATTTTATGGGCATATGAGAATTTAATGTGCAAGCATTTTTTGGAAACCTGGGAAACTATGCATAAAGGTTTTTCTTCTAAAGTAGTTGTATCCATTTGAAGTTGAATACGTGAAATTTAGGAGACATCAGAGTTGTAGACTGCCTGTACAATCTTAATTTCCATGACATGCATACTGATCATTATACAGTATATAATCATTCTCCACCTCTCCTGTCACTTTGTTTTCACGTTTGTCTTCCTGTACAGGCTGGACATGTTTTGGTGTCAGGGCTGTGTAATGAAAAATCATTGTCCTGACTGTTGAAATGATAGATGGAGAATGAATGTACTTCAGGAAGTAGTCTAATTTAGGCAGCTGAAAACTGCCTTTGGGAATTGAATTCAGTTTTATCCCCCTAGGGATTTCATTCATGTGATACTAAGCAAGCTGAGCGTTACAAACCCACTCATTTTATAGAGAGGAGCACCAGAAAAACCCAGTGATCAATGTGAGTGTTCTGCTGAACAGCTTCCTTGCTTGTACTTGGAGTCAGTGAGAGCTCTAGGGCTTTGAGTGTGCAGACACCAGGCACTCTCTGAATCAAGTTCTAGGCCTCTCATTACTCTTCTTTCCCATCCTCCAAAAAATTGATGCTTCTGGCCATAATGTCTCTTTGATTTAAGTATGTCATAAAATTATAATAGTCTCTTTCCACAGAAATATCTTGGTGAAACAGTTTCTGAAAGGAAAAAAAAGCTTGTGGTCAAGACTATTTGATTTTCATTATATTAAAAATTTGTCCTCTGGACGTTTTTTGGTATCTTCTAATTTTTTGTTCTTAATCTACAAATTCATATTTATTCTGGTCAAGGCATTAAAATAATGTTGCAGCAAAACAGTGTACTTTATCAAAGTTATGTTAGAAAATTATGACAAACTTTTCCACATGTTCATTTTCAGACTTTATTCAGTGTTATCGAAGTTTAGATCTACTTAATTTTTCAGGAAAAAAAAGGGGAAAAAATAGTCTCTTGTCAAAGATATGCTTAAAGACGTGATAGATATTGGTGACGCAACTTGCTTTCAACCTTTTACACTCTTGTTTTCAAACACTTAGATATTTTTCTAAGACTCTTTTTTAACCCCCTCTTTAGTGAATGAATTTGGTGACATTAGCTGCATCTTTTTGTCAGTGTAACACAATCAATGTGAGCTTCTCTTTCTTTCTGGTTTTCTCTGTCTGCTGAACTTTTTTTTTTTTCTTCCCCCTTTTTCCTCCATGTTTTTCTCTTTTCCAATTACTTTTCATTCAACTGGAAGCTTCATGGTAATTGTGATGATTGTTTGTCTATGGTGACATCCGTAACTGAGCTTTGTGCCGTGGGAACACAGAGAATATATGATTTTCAGAGTCAGCATTTGTAGCCATATATGTGAGCTGTTCCTGCTGCCAGATACTTAGGGACCACCACAAGAAGAGGGAGGGAAGGGTTTCAAGAACCACCCACAGTGTCTATATGCCTTTGCTTTAGGAAATATGGATATAATTAAGTCTCTCTTTTAACTGTGCTGAGAAAAAATATTTCAATGAAAAAATGTATTTTTATGTATATGTGGATTGAATATATACATTGATTACCAACTGTTGAAAACACCATGT